TATATATTGTACCTCATGTACCACTGATGTTGGTTTGAGTGAAATAAATGAACTTGAACTTGAAATAAAGATTATTTGTACTTTTACAAACAGTACATATTTGAATAAAATACCAAACATTTATATTGAAAACTAGAGGTACTCTGAGCAATGAGCTCACTAAATGATACCCCCAGCCTCCCATAATGTCCATGTGTTGCTATATATTGTTTTACGGTAATATGTAAAGAGGAATAACTCGTCCTATCAAATGTTATCCAGAAGCTTGTATATGTGACGTCATAGGTAAACATAAAATGGCAATGTCCATGTTTTGCTATGGGAAACCTAAAATACGTGTCGAATAAAAAAGTAAAATAGAAGGTGCACAATGGCCTTATGTAATAAAGATTCTGTGAAAGTTTCATTAAATTTCACTCAGTTGTATAAGAGGAATTGCGGATAAGAGATAAAGCGTAACAGACGGGCGGACGGACGGAAATCCCGATTACTATAAATTATACCCTCCCACTTTTCAAGCGGGGGTATAACAAAAATATAAAATACTAGTTTCAGCGTATAACACTGAGGGAGTCAAGACGCTAGTGCATTTTGGCTAGTATCAACGCAACCTTACAATATCCGAGCATGAAAAATATATAAAATACAGAATTCAAGTAAACTGGTTGAAAACAAGGGATAAAGATAGTGAATGTCAATCCCGAATTTCTTTGGTAAAATAAAGAAAATTTTGGAAAACTGCCTCTATATACTTTTGCGTGAAGTTATCGCCCTTATAATATTAAATGACTTTAAATTTTTTTGCAAAAATAGTCAATTTTGATAAATGTACTTAAAATAAAAAGAGCAAGAATTGACATTTTAAAAATTTCTTATAAGATAACGTTCTCTTTATTATGGAAAAAAAATTATTTATATATTTTTTGATTGTAAATAATTATGAAACATCGATGTATAATACATATGAATAGCTTATTTCATAAGAGGAAAGAGTTACTGAGTCAATCGACCAAAAGCAAGAAGAGAAAGAAAGAGAGGATGAGAATGTGGAGAGACAAAGAGAAAGACAGAGTGGGAGGGGTGGAGGAGTGAGAGGGAGTGAGAGGGAGAGATAAATAGAGGGTGTGGATGGGGGGTTATCATCTCCTGTTCCATCTAAATCCTCTTTTATCTTCCCGCAGTTTCTCTCCTCATTACATTTAGCCTCCTACTACCTCTCTCGCTGTCTTAGAAGAGAGAGAATAATAGAGGGAGTGAGAGTAGATAGAAAGGATCTGAGAGGGGAGGGAGTGAGTGAGAAGACAGAGAGAGAAAAGGAGTGGGGAAGTAGACAGAGAGAGGGAGTGGGGAGAGAGAAGAGAGGGGTAGTGGGGAGAGAGAGGGACAGTGTGAGTGGGTAGAGATAGTGCAGATATTAATTTTGGTATGTCTGTTATTCTGTCCGTCTTTCGTTCCGCTTCAAAATATTTTTGTCCCCCGCTTACGTGAAATCGAGGGGACATTAAATCTCATTCGTCTGTCTGTCTGTTTGTCTGCAAAAACTTTAACCTTGCCCATAACTTTTGATTCAGTGGGGCTATGACTTTCATATTTCACATGTGTATTTCTTGTGACAAGACCTTTTTTTGGGTACCACTAAATTTGAACTTTTGACCTTGGCCCTGGAGTTTGACCCACTTTTACACAAAAATTCCAAACTTTTACTTTGGCCATAACTTTTGAATGGTAGGTACTAGGACTTTAATATTTCACATATGTATTTTTTGTAGTAAGACCTTTCATTTGATACCAACAACCTTGACCTTTTGACCTTGACAATTTCCGTACTTATGAAAAATCTTTAACCTTGACCACAACTTTTGAATGGTAAGGGCTAGGGATATCAAACTTCACATATGTAGTCCTTGTGACAAGACCTTTCATTGGATGCCAAGAACTTTGACCCTTTGTCCTTGACCTCGGAGTTTTAACTACTTTTTAAAAACTTTAACCTTGGTCACAACTTTTGAACGGTAGGTACTAGGAATTTCATATTTCACATATGTAGTCTTTGTTGCAAGACCTTTCATTGGATACCAATAACTTTGGCCTTTGGGCCTTGACCTTGGAGATTTACGTACTTATAAAAAAAACTTTAACTTTGACCATAACTTTTGAACGGTGAGGGCTAGGGCTTTTGTACTTCACATATGTAATCCTGGTGATAAGACCTTTCTTGAGAAACCAATAACTCAGACCCTTTCACCTTGGAGTTTGACCTACCTTTCAAAAATTTCTCCTCGACTTTAACTTATGAACAGGTGTTGCTTTGTATATCACAATTATCGTATTTCTTGTGAGAAAAACCCTACTTTGGGTAATTATATATTTAATTTGCATTAATATTTTATATTTAATTTGCATTAATATTTAAAGTTTAATCTTCGTCATGTTGCCATACCGTGTTTCACAAACACATCTTGTTCCTTATATTGAGAAGAGAAAGAGATTTCATATTTGACATGTGTATTACTTATTACATGTACAAGATAATTTCGAGCATGCTATGATTTCTTACCCCTTGACCTTGACCTTCACGATTGATCTTATTTTTAAAAAAACTTCAATGATAATTTCTAAATAAATTACATATCATATCGTGTTCATATTAGACACAATACTCATAAAAAAATAACATCTCACCGAAAGCGAGAGACACAATTCTTTAAATTTGCTTGTTAGGAATTATGACCTTCTTAATTTTTCAGGGTTTCCGCCTATTTTTCCAATCACTTGCAGATTTTGAGCTTATTTTTAGTATGGGACTTTACCTTGATTATTTATAGATCAAGTTTGCATTTTGTTCTGCTTCATTGATTTTTGACGGATTCATGGCATTATTTTATTTTTTATAATTGGGTTCACGATAGGGCTTGCGATGCACTAGATTAATGTCGTGATGCGCCATATTAATGTTCCAAACGAGATTGTCATAATTTAAAACTTGCTGGATAGCTTTAAAATAGGGATGTCAACGAGTGCCCGGTTAACCGGGTCCTCGATCGAACGTCCGAGTATCGACGACATTTATACTTAAATGTGCATACGATAATTAGAGTACCGTCGCCTACATCTGTAAAACATACGTTATCGCCTGTGGCTGTGTATAATTACAGTAATTAGTGTCTAATCTTCTTGTACACAGCTTCTCACAACTATTGTGGTCCTTAATTTTTGGCTTCAATGATTTGTTTTCATTGAGGATCGTTTAAATATGTTCTTTTTTTATTATCTTTAAATCATTTTTAAATTATTTAGTAAATGGTACCAAAATCCGACATGAATAGATATGCCGCTACCAACTCAAAATGTAAAGAAATATTTTGGTAATACATGCAATTCAAGATGAAAAATATGATGGAACCTAAAGTAAGGCCTTTTCACAAGAAATACAAATATAAAATAAAAAACCATAGCACCACCTGTTCAAGGGTTATGACCAAGGTTAAAATGTTTAAAGGTAGGACAAACTCCGCGGTCTAGGTCAAAGGGTCAAGGTTGTTGGTTTCTAAAAAAAAAAGGCCTTGTCTCAAAGATTATGTATGGGAATTATAAAAGCATTGGCCCTTACCGTTCAAAAGTTATGGTCGAGGTTAGAGTATGTAAAAAGTAGGTCAAACTCCAAGGTCAAAGGGTCAAGGTTCTTGATATCCCATGAAAGGTCTTGTTTTAAGAATTACATATGTAAAACATGAAAGCTCTAGCCCCTTATGTTAAAAAATTATGGCCAATTTTAAAGTTTGTAAAAAGTAGGTCAAACTCCTAGGCCAATGGTCAAAGTTGTTGATATCTAATAAAAGGTTACATATTTGAAGTATGAAAGCTCTAGCCCATACCGTTCAAAAGTTATGGCGAAGGTTAAAGTTTTTTCGTTAGTACATAAATCTCCAAGGTCAAGGTCAAAATTGTGAATGAAATGTCAAATGAAAGGTCTTGCCAAAAAGAATTGATATATGAAATTCCTAGCACCTACCGTTTAAAATTAAGACCAAAGTAAAAGTTTGGATTTTTTCTGTAAAAGTGGGTCAAGGTCAAAGGGTAAAGGTTCTTGATATCAAATGAAAGGTTTTGTTACAAGGATTAAATATGTGAAGTATGAAAGCCCTAGTTCTAATCCTTCAAAAATTATGTTCAAGTTTGTATTTTAAAGTAGGTCAAACTCTAAGGTTAAAGTGTCAAAGTTCATGGTATCCTATAAAGCGTCTTTTCACAAGGAGTTCATATTTGAAGTATGAAAGCCCTAGCATTTATCGTTCAAAAGTTATAGCTAAGGTTAAAGTTTTTCGTAAGTAAAGAAATCTCCAAGGTCAAAAGGTCAAGGTTGTTGGTATCCATTGAAAGATCTTTTCACAAAACGTAAATATATCAAGTATAAATGTCCTGATATCTACTGTTTAAAAGATATGACCACAGTAAAAGTTCAAAAATTTTGTGTAAAAGTATGTCGAACTCAAAGGTCAATGTCAAAGATGGTGGTACCTTAAGAAAGGTTTTGTCACAAGGAATACACACGTGAAATATGAATGTCACAGCTTCGCTAAATCAAAAGTTATGGGCAAGGTTAAAGTTTTTGCGGACAAACAGACAGAGGGACAGCTAGACAGACAGACAGACGGACGGACACGACAAAAACTATATACCCCCGAAACCCCCGCGCTATGGCCAATGAGTCTTTTGTTTTATTTTCTGTCCTAGGTTTCCAAATAGGATTGATTCGACTACTTTTTTTAAAACATGTATTGAAAAAAACGTTTGCAATATTTTGCAAATCATGTTTTCTACTACCAACTCATAAATTTCAAGAAATTTTTTGTTATCTAGAATAATTTAGATATATTCATTGGTTAAATATAAGGTATTACTCTTTACAACCGTGTTCATAGCTTTCAGTTCATGTATGTACATTTCTAACCATTTGAATTACAACACAATTTAACGTAATTTTTTAATGATGCTTGTAGGAGATGTCATATCTTTCTGTGCTATGAACAAGTATGCCACAGTTGCTGATGGTTTAAATGCTGCCCACTTTATCAACTGCTCAGATCCTAGCCCAGAACAATCACACTACATTCAGGAGTGTCCCTACCCTGAATTGTTTTCTATTGAGACTAAAAGCTGTCAAGACTTCAGGATGGTACCGACAGACTCAAGGATGGTTCCACAGGCACCATGTAGGTGAATTATATATATATGGAATATTTCGATAATACAGTGATCTTTTTTGTTTCCGTTTTATTAGCTCACCTGAGACGAAAGCTCAAGTGAGCTTTTCTGATCACATTTTGTCCGGAGTCCGTCCGTCTGTAAACTTTTCACATTTTCGACTTCTTCTCAGGAACCGCTGGGCCAATTTCAACCAAACTTGCCACAAAGCATCCTTGGGTGAAGGGGATTCAAATTTGTTCAAATGAAGGGCCACGCCCACACTCAAGGGGAGATAATTAGGAATTAATGAAAATTTGGTGGCATGATTTAAAAATCTTCTCAAGAACCACTGTGCCAGGAAAGATGAAACTTATGAGGAAACATCCTCAGGTAGTGTAGATTCAAGTTTGTTCAAATCATGACCCCCGGGGGTAGGGCGTGGCCAAAATGGCCGACCAAAGTTTTTCATAGAAATATATAGGAAAATTCTTTTAAAATCTTCTCAAGAACGACAAAGCTATAATTCATCATATTTATATGGAAGCATCCTCAGGTAGTGTAGATTCAAGTTTGTTCAAATCATGACCTCGGTTCGAGGGCGGGGCCAAAATGGCCGACCAAAGTCTTACATAGAAATTTATAGGAAAATTCTTTAAAAATCTTCTTCTCAAGAATAGCAAAGCCATAATTTATCATATTCATATGGAAACATGCTCAGGTAGTGTAGATTCAAGTTTGTTCAAATCATGACCCCGGGGGAGGGCGGGGCCATAATGGCCGACCAAAGTTTAACATATTTTTAAAAATCATCTTCTCAAGAATAGTAAAACCATGACTGATCATGGGATTACCTTTGGATGTAAACTTTTCAATAATAAACCGATTTCTACTTTTTCCTAGCCACAGTGCTCAGATGAGCGTTGTGGCCCATGGGCCTCTTGTTAGTCTTAAGAGTCACTCGGGTGACCTATTGCTATTTGTTTTTGTCCGTCGGAAACCGTAGTAGATAGACCAAGTCTTTCTAAATAGAAACTTTAAACCAAAAGTCTCTATCGAGACTGTGGATCTACTGGTTTGTACTTATAACAAAAGAAGAGAAAAGTTGCAGTCTTTACAACAGCAATAAATAGAACGATAGTCCTTGATAAAGTCTCCTTTTGTGGCAAGACTGCAATAAGACTACAACTATGGGAGTAGCTTTAAAAACAAAATAGAGAATTTTCAATTTAGTTACCATGGCAATATCATTCATCAAAATCTAAAAACAAAAAGGACAATTATGTATCTCAGTAAAGTCTACTTGTGTGTTAAGTTATATTGAAATTAATAATTAATCAGATGAAGACTGTAGGAAGAGTAGCATTTTATAAGGATTTCACAGAAATTGCTTTAGTAACTATGGCAACATTTTTCATTAAAATCAAAAACTTATATACAGCAGTATGCATCTTAGTGTAGATTTCTTGTGCACTAACATATACTGAAATTAAACCAAAACTGTAGGAAGAGTAACATTTTAAAAGTATCTCAAAGAAATTTCTATTTTTGGTAACGACAGCAACACTGTTCATCGGAATCAAAACCCTATGTATTTTAGTAGGGTGTTACTAAAACGTGGAATAGAAAAGGGAACGGAAAGGAAAACGGAATATATTATTTGAGATTAAATCACTTAAAATACACAAACTTTATCATAAACTATATATCTTATACAGTCATATTAAATGCCCCATTATTAAATACAAGATGATTTAGTCATGTTCAGTCTCTTATTCACAAAAATAGCTGACATAGCAGTGACGTCGAATCGGATTTGAAAGAGCGACAGAATTGAACTTACTTGGAAAGAATTTGACAAGTGAAAAAAGAAGACAATTGTTGATAAAGGACACGGGTGCTTGACCTCTTGATCTCTTTTTACCTATCTCTTCAAAAATAAAAATTCTCTAAACTATAATAATATGTTATTATTATAGGTTCATCACGGTCGCCATCTTGATTTTGTTTTCAGTTCATCTACTTCACCTCGATTTTTAGTCTACAATGTGTTTAAAATTACGGGTACAACCGTTTCTTCAAAGTACATGTACTTACTTTAAATATGCATGTACTTTCGGGCAATTCACTAGCGATTCAAAATGCTCCTTAAAGAAGCTATTACAAATAAAACGCAGCAAAGAACTATATTCGGTATATTGCATATCTTTGCCCCCACCGAAGTCAAATTTTGAAAAAATTCTTAAAATGTGCTAATTGTATTAATTGTAAGAGAAATATAAATTGATAAATCATATAATAGTTTCAAAGCACAGGCACTTGTTTCGGGAATAAATTTTAACCCATAGAATAATAATATCACAAGGTATCTCAAGGTATCTAACTCCGATTTACACCGAGTACCCCCCTCCCTTAGAATCGCGCTCATTTACACTTTCAGAGGAAATGCACGGGTAAACTGTTTTCTACGATAATTTATATACACAACCGTATCTAATATGCTTGTCTTTATTTTCATTATCTCCGTAATCAGCTTCAAAACTCTGCTCGCCGAGTGGAAAGTGAAACTCAACCATAGAATGATATGTTCTAGTCTCGGGCAAAGAATTAGACCTCGAATTTGATCAGCTAAAAATCTGTTTCTAAAAATACATCGGAAAAACATCGTGGTCTTTTTATGGAAAATAAGTCACTATGAAATTTTATTTATTTAATGCAATATCTAAAATTTGGAATTGAATTTTTAAACCCACGCATTCTTCAAATTTTCTCTTTGCCCGAGATTAGCACATACCGTTTTATGGTTTAGTTCGACTTTTTGTTTTGACGGTGTTTACGGAGATTAAAGAAAACAAAGACAAACAAGCTATATATGGTTGTGTAGATAAATTATCATAGAAGACATAGGTATAAAAATTTTGCCACTGCCTTTTCTCTGAAAGTGTAAATGAGCGCGATTCTAAGGGAGGGGGGTACTCGGTGTAAATTGGAGTTAGATACCTTGTGTTATTATTATACTATGGGTCAAAAATTTATTTCAGAAACAAGTGCCCGTGTTTCAAAGTTGGTTACTGACAATTTTTGTTTTTATGACATCACAAACTAGTGGGATTTTGTATAATTAAAAAAAAAAAGAATGGACAGAAATTCAACAATTTTAGCTACAGAATTTATAGAGCGCAGGTCTGCTCAGGAACCATATCAACATATTTCATTGATACATTTTTCTGTAGAAATCGTGAAAATTTCAAATTTACGTCACTTTCATGACGTCATTTCAAACATATGACGTCATTGCTTATGAAAATATTCGATGCCTTGAAGTCAGCATATCTCCCTGTTTTAGAACATAGTTAAATATTTCTCCGTCAAAGTTTGATTTTTGAGGCAAATATTGGTTATTACCGAATAAAGTTTTTTTAGCGATCTCCGCACCCTCGGTAAAATGCCAAAATTAAATCGCTAAAAATTCTGCTTATAGATAGTTTTCAGTAGACCCATATTAACAAGAGCTATTTCCCATTGGCCACCATCTTAACGGTCAACCTGTTTATTTTCCCTCTTTGTCCTACCAAATATAAGGGGGTATAGCAGAAATATTTGGGGGAAAATCTTTATGAAATAAACATTATGAAATAAAGGAGACTTTAAGAAATGTATATTTTAAAGAAAAACAATGCTTCCCATCCAACAATTTCCAGTATAAAAAGTTAAAGTTGGTTGAATAATGAAGGAATATGAGCATGTTGACCCCCAATATGGCGGCCAACGTGAAATAACTCTTATTAATTTAGGTCTACTGAAAACTATCTATACGGTATATACAAGATTTAATAAATCAATTTTTGGTGTGGCTGGGGGTCCCTATCCCGACGCCAAACTACACGTACCACCGCCCCTTTCAAGATTCTCTGATTCGCCACAGCTTAAATAATCTAAATGACAAAACTAGTTAGTTTTGTCTATACATTGTACATACAAATAGATGTATGTACACTCAAGTTTAATTTTCTTCCTTTTTCAAGACAATATCTTTTAAATGAATGAGCTTTCCTAAAAAAAAGAATTTGTACGAAACGTTCAGAAGGATACTGAGGATTTGAGTATAGTCAGTATGTATTCATTAGATCGGGGTATAACGACTTCTAGTTGGACGACCATTGTTCATTTCTCTTAGGCTTAACCCATATTGTAATTTATTTCACTTTTCTATACGCAAGTACAATAAGGAAAAAGAACTCAGATCTGTTGATCTATTTGGGGATCGGGTGGAGGAACCAACCCCCACCCCCGGAATTTGCAGTTTTGTGGAAGTATATACGACACCAACTAATAATGATCTTGGATTCCTCTGGAAAACGCGGAATCTTGTTGTAATGGTATAAGAATATATAATACTATATACATAAGTGTTTATACTTTTAAACAGTAAACAATTTTAATTTACATTTTTATAATATCAGTTTTGAAAGGTAGAATGCGCATTGCCAAATTTACTTGTATCTGATGTACAGAAATTGTGTCAAGAAAACGGTTCAGCTTTGATGATGTATTATCCATTTTCCTCGGCAAGTTATCTCTCTAATCAGAGGTATATTACACTTTAACTAGGGTCTCGAATATACTTTAAAGCAAATCTTACACATTCATTTAGCATATACTTTAAAATGATAGATATACTGAAAGATTTGGGAAAAACATTTCGTCGTAAAATCTTGGGTTGTGTCTTTAACAAACATCTCAAAATTTATTTTACCGTCCTTACACGGATTCATCTATACTCAAAAAAAAGGAACGCATATTGTTTTACTCATCAAAGAAATTTAAATTTTGAAAAAGTATATGGAACAACTGCCTTTTTTATCATTGGATACCTGTGATCTATCTAAAGGAAAACATTGGGTTTTAAAACCCAAATGTTGAATTATTTCCCTTGAATAATCATGTTTATGAAAATAGTGTTTTTCACATTTTGTAAATCGGGGGTCTATTTTCATTGATATTTTGGATTTAGAGAAATAATAAACAC